TAGAAGATCTACTTGGTCCCTTCCGACCCTAAATCTATGGAACTATGAAACATTTACTAGGCTATTTGAGTAAGCCAACTCTAAATATAGTGTATAGGGCTAGAGGGAAATTTGGAGAACTTAGCACATTCAGGAAGACCTGCTACTAGTCTGCATGCCATCTTCCTCCCCTTTCTTGAGTTTCTCTGGCCAATACAGCTGATAATCTATGTTGTCCTGTCACAGGAAGCCAGACAGACTATGGGATAACTCTCTGTCCTTATGTTTTCGAGGGTAAGCATCAGGATGTAGGCCAGTCTCTTGCTTCTTTTTTCAGTACTCAACCTGGACAGATAAACACCTATAATACAGATAACAACATACAGAATGCATGTTGAATTTGTATTCCTGTTTCCAGCAAGATAGGTCAGCCTCTTTCAAAGCTCCAAAGTACCTAGCAACCACCATATACAATCATATGATCTAATGGATTTCCTAATCATATATTCTTAAATAATCTCTTTGTCACTTGTTAAAGAGACCCTTAATTCCATAGTTCACACAAATATTTCATTTTTCTTTGAGTTATATTTAGCCAAGTAAAAGGGACAAAAAACAACAAAAAGTTATAAGGTAAGATTGATTCCCAATGTATCTTGAAATTACTAATGAGATATTAATATATACTATTTCAATCCTGCAATATTTATGCTCATAGCCACGATTACTCTGGTGAGCAAAATCAATGGGCCTAGTCATGTGAAAAAATATGCATACATAATATAAACATTTCTTAGAGCAGACAAGTTCTCATGATGTCAACTTACCTTTTGGGGTATCACAAAGTATTGTCAGAGTACTGAGAATCTTTCCATTTGCTCATGTTTTGCTTCTTCTGAATTTGAGTCCTTATGCTAGCTGCATAATTAAGCTACAGTTAAGGAGGAGTCTCCTTAAGAATACTAATGATGGAGGTCAGGTAGAGAGTTCACTTTTGAGTGACATGACCAACTTCTTTCCCATTGACCAAGAGCACCAACTGCCAGTGAAGAATTACTCTGTAATGTATATTGTTTTCTTCTGAGTACAAAATTACTCATATAATTCCCACTTAGAGAGAGAAGCAGCTGCAGGCATCCACTGCTTTTTAAAGAAAATTCTGGAGAAACTGTTCTATTGCATTGCAATTTTTGTTGTGAGTAGCATTTTGTGACCTGGTCACACATTCAGTCAATTAATGAAGTGATGAAATGAGGAATAAACCACAAGGTTACTAGACAAACTATGAATTACATATATTGTACAATAAGTTTGTGGCTGGTTCCTATCAGGCCTTTAATTGAATGTGTGGGTAGTGCCCAGCCTCTGGATCACATGGGAACCCTAGGAGCATCCTTCAGGTGACCAGAGCTGCCAGACCTGCAAATATCCCCTGTGCTTTCGTGGCTGGAAGCCCCATCAGCTGCTACTTGCTGGTGCAGGGGGAGTCCAAGCTCAGGCAATGTGGCGCAATGGTATCATATCGCCTGCCATGCATATGGGGCATGACAGGAAGCAAAATTGTTGGGATCCCACAGCAGAGTCCATCGCACCTTTACTTTAATGTCTTTTAGGGCCTAAGTGACTTTTTCCTCCAATTTCTTATCCAGTGCCATACAACTGAGCAGTTTCCAAAGTACATTGAATGAAATGATTCTATCCCAAATAAGCCTCTTCATATCCTCAGTACAGTACTTGTACAGTGACTCCTAAAGTGATTAAGGTAATTGTCATTTATTTTCAACATTGCACATAAAATATTTTAGATACTTATGACATGGTTTATAAGATGCATAATTTTTCAATATTACTTCCATTGGCTTGACTTACCTTCACATGAATTATTGTACTATTATGAAAAGCCAGCGTGAAAAGAAATCTAATGGTGACAAACATATTGACATATCATGCATTCTTCATAAAGCATCCACAGTAAGTATGGAGTGACTGCAGTATTTTGTGATTTCATCACCTTAATACCTACAAAATGTTGTAGCATGAGCCAGCAGTGTAAAGGCATTTCTCCCATTCAAGATATATATTCAAAAGCATCAATTGCTGTAGCTGGTACTCTTATTCATTTATCATTTGAATCTAATACCTATTTTGAAACATTGGACATGTATTTATATCAGAATGTTTACAAGTAGGGTATATTGAAATCTGAATTACTGATGGCATGTGATAAGGGATGCACTTAAAATGTAACCTAAATAGAATTGGTTGTGTACTTGCACATAGATACTGTCCTCAGGAATACCAATTTAG